TTCTGTGCCTGTGCTATTAGTAGTCTTTAGAGGAGTGGTTTCTCAGCCTTTCTAATACTACAATCCTTTAATAGAGTTCCTTGTGTTGTGGTGACCCCCCATCCATAAAATTATTTTGTTGCCACTTCATAACTGTAATTTTGCTACTGTTCTGGATAATAATGTAAATATCTGATATGCAGAATATCTGATATGCAACCTCAAAGAAGTTGTGACACACATGTTGAGAACCCCTGCCTTACAGTGTCTAACATGAGTGTGGAAGCACTTTATCATCAAAATAGCTGATGTTCTTGGTTAACATGTTCTTTAAGAATCGTCTCCCTCACTCACAGAACGCTATTTCATAATAGAGACATTGCCATTGTTATATGTGGTACATACCTATGGGAATACACACAAACACATATATGCACACAAATACGTTGATCTGTCAAATTGAGATTCTTCAAATATGACACACTTGTTTATCTCTGTGACAGCACTCACACATAAATCCTTTCTTGGGTAAAACGCTGCTGTTGGTCTTATGGAGCTGCTTAAGACTCTTTCTGAGATTATGTTGAGATAATGTTGAACTGTGTACATGACAGGAAGCTTTATCTCACGCTTATACTCTTTGTGTGTCTTGCTTCATGGTTGCTTAGGGTGTATGACTTCACTGTCTTTTATGAATGTAATCTTTTGTATTGTGTTCTTTTGTTTCAGTCACATTTATCCTCTGAATTTGCACATAACAGAGGGACTACTGGTCCTCAATAATCTTCCATAATCAAATATCCACTGAAAGTCAATTAACTTGACTCCTCACTAAACGATAGCATTTCTTCATTTTATTTAATATCTAAGGTAATGAGTGATCAAGTTAGAATAGAAAATAGCCTATAGAAAGGGATGTGGAACAGAATGTAAGTCTAATGATACTGTTGCTGTTGTAGTCTCTAATGAGAGTTGGCTGAAATGGAGAGCCCCAAGGATCAAAAAAAAAATCCTACGTCAGTCTCAGACTTCAGAACAAGTAGTGCAAATGACTCTAAATAGGTTTAAGTGTTAAATTCCATTTGATTGCTCATATATTCAAATTTCAAATCTTCTTGTGCCTGTAGCTATGACCTGTTTATTGTATTGGTCTTATTTTAACCAAATGAATTTTATAATATTCCAAATTACTTAAATGCTTATAATTTTTCTGCATCCCGGTCTTTTTGGTTAATTTCCATGTACAGTATCTGCTTCAACACAGTTTTCTAAAGGAAAGAATTTGCATCGTATCAATAAATCTATTTTGCTTTATTTTTCTCTCTTATGTACAGCCATAGGTATGTTTAATCAAACATATAACATAGACTATATTATATAACAATCAAATTTATATCAATATTGCATATTATATATCAATATTTATCAACATTATCAAATATATATTAAATATAAGATACAATAAATATATAAATTAGTATAGGATCATGTGAGATAGTGGCAAGGAAAACTCTGGCTTGAATCATATCTTGGCTTAATTTTCAGCTGCATCATTCAGCTTCTTTGATAATAAATTTAGTTATTTGTAAAGCAGATGTGCTGCTGCTATCCCCATCATACAACAGAAGATATAGGATCATGTGAGATAGTGGCAAGGAAAACTCTGGCTTGAATCAGATCTTGGCTTAATTTTCAGCTGCATCATTCAGCTTCTTTGATGATAAATTTGGTTATTTGTAAAGCAGATGTGCTGCTGCTATCCCCATCATACAACAGAAGCAAATGAAAATGAGTGAGAACTTGGGGGTGTGCTAGATAGTAGACACTCACAATTTTAAGATGTATATAATCATGAACTACTTTCTAAGCACTAGATGCTGTGGCTTGTGTTGTATTGCTTACTGCTTCCAGTCTCCAGTCTGCATAATTTGCATTTAGTTCATTTAACACGTGTGGCCAAAGTAACTGGTGTGATTGTTTCTTCCCTGACATTGTTTGTGCTATATATTTTTCTATAAATCAAAGTCATGTAAAGTTACATACAACATTAAAAATGTATTGTATTCCAGGGTTAACACAATGAAGACCCACAGACTTGTTGGCTTAGTAAATGAGAATATATTATCTCTTGATTCTGGAGGTGGAACTCAGTCAGTTCCTTGGTGGGGGGCTGTAAAAACCCATTCTACGAATTGTTCTTAGATACTTGTGGTTCATCTGGCAATCCCTGGCATATCTTGTATTTCAGAAGCATCATCCTAACTTTCACCTTCATCTTTACCCAGTGTTCCTCTTTGTGGGCTCCTGTCTAAATCTCCCTTTGTATAAAGACATCATTCATATTCACTTAGGTGACTATCTTGTTCTAAAGTAACATTTAGTTCTGAAAATTAGGACTTCCCATTAGGATTTACAGACTGTACTAGTTACTTTAAAGTGATGAAACATCATGACTAAGGTAGACAAATTTCTTGTTTGCCTCTGCTTATACTATGCATACTTGTATGCACAGTTTTTATAAACATCTATGGTATATTACTAGTTCTCAGATCAAAGTATACCTGCACTGTTTGCTCTTTCTGTCCGTGTTCCACTGTCCTTCACTCTTCCTGCTCCTACTCATAGCATGATCCTCTGAACTCCCCCCCCCATTAGCTTCTCATTTATTAAACCAGTGTCTGTTAGCTGGGCTGAGGGTACAGATATAATTACCAGGACAGCATATGACTTGAGTAGCCACAGAAACTATCTTGATAGACCTTAAAAATGGAGTGAACCATGCAAAGGAAAATTGAGCTTTGAAACAGACAATAAAAGTCAGCTAACTTGACTGCACACAGGAAATATAAAATAGAATAATCTTATCATTTGGCATTTATCTTGCAAAGCTCAGTAGCGGTAACTTTAAGATAGGATGTAGTGGACTGGAATGTGTGCCCTTCACAAGCTCTCCCCTCCAAAGCCACTTAAGGAGACTTTATGAAAATAACAAGCATGGCTAATCTTTATGGAGGGTTAAACATGTGACAGTATGGGGAGGGGAGCTTCTGTTTCTCTGCTTCAATCATCTGCAGAGAAGAATAAGAACCATTGCTAAAGCTGTATTTTGCCGATGTGATGGTGTATATCAAGATAGCCAAGAGACTATCAAGATGTCCTAACCCACAAATAAGTTGGTCACATCTGACTCTCATACCATGGGTGACTTTCCTTGCCTTCAGAGCACAATGTCAGTGATCAGTGTTCCATTTCATTCCCCCTGCCTGCTTGCTAATCAGAGTGAAAACAATAATGTGTGATAATTGTTTGGACTTTTTCATGAACATAAAAAGGACACTTTTATGCCATGCTAAGTTGATTCAATCAATGAAAACTGAGATCTTTCACTTTCCTTTTTTGAGCCAAATTCATTGTTTACTTTCTTTTTATTCATTTCATTTTATGTACCAACTGCAGTTCCCCCTCCCTCCTCTTCTCCCTCCTTCCACCTCCTCCATCCTCACCCCCCAATCCACTCCTCATAGTGGGTTAGGTCTCCCTTGGGAAGTCAACAAAGTCTGGCATACCAAATTGAGGCAGGACCAAGCCCCTCCCTGCTGTGTTTAAGCTGAGCAAGTTATCTCTCCATAGGAAATGAACTCTTAAAAAGCCAGTTCATGTACCAGGACCTACTGCTAGTCATAAGCTGCCAATCCACCCATTGTTACCTGAATTCAAGGGATCTAGTTAAATCCTAGGCAGGCTCCACAGCTGTCAGTACAGAGCTGGTGAGCTCTCAGCTCAGGTCAGCTGTTTCTGTGGGTTTCCCCATCATGGTATTGACCCCTTTGCTCATACTGTTGCTCCTGCCTCTTTTTGACTGAACTTGAGGAGCTTGACTTAGTAGTTAGTTGTGGTTCTCTGCATCAGCGTCCATCACTTACTGGATGTAGGGAAGTGGGAAGGAGAACATGAGAGAACAGGAAGGTCAAGTTGGGGGAGGGGAGAACAGAGAGGGAGAGCGAGGGAAAAATATCTTGATAGAGGGAAAAATTTTGGGATTTTCAAGAATCCTGGCACTAGGGAAATTCCCAAGAATCCACCAAGGATGACCCCAGATAAAATTCTAAGCAATATTGGAGAGAGAGAGAGAGAGAGAGAGAGAGAGAGAGAGAGAGAGA